AGGAATATAAATATATATATAAAAATATATAGGAATATAAACATATATGTATATAAATGCATACTTACATGCATATAAATAGATACATATAGCAGAATGTGCAAGAGAGCTTTAGCTTACCGGTCTGAGTGCATAAGTTTATTACCTGCTCACCGGTCCGAGTGATGATAATGACGTAATGACGTTCTTTTGACGATCTGCAACAAAGGCTGGGAGCCAGGCGTAAATTTTGGGAGGATACAGGACCCCTGTGTGGGAAACGGTGGAGGAGGAGGGGGGCTTGGCCGGTGGTGCATGCTCTCTCTCACACGGCGTACGTATTTCAGTCCAGCGTGGTTCGTTATACGTTGCGCGTGACCTGGCGTAGAAACTTTCTTGCACATGAATTATATTCCCCGGCAGCTTATAAGAAAAGATGCTTTTAAAGCATCTCCTCTAGAAAATAGCTGATGTAGAGCCCCGTAGAGAATAGCGTGACTGCAGCTCTCGCGGTTAATGCTAAGTGTAAAATCAACTACTTTGACCACAGGAGGGGACCAGACAGCAGCAGAGCTCAAAAGGGACAAACTTCCATCCATCAATGACTTGGACAGCATTTTTGGCCCCGTGCTCTCCCCTAAGTCTGCTGCTGTTAACGCAGAAGACAAGTGGGTCAATTTTTCCGATCAATCCCCGGAAAACACGCCTCTGGAGTTGACGCCCCGGGAAAAAGCGGGGTCCCCGCCGGCGGCAGTCGCCGCTCCACCTGGAAGAGGTTCACAAGAAGGTTTCTGAGCAGCCCCACCTTAAGGATGATAACGTGGAGCCGGCCGCTTCTCCCAAAGATTTTGGGCTGGGACAAAGAGCGACCCCGCCTCCCCCTCCGCCGCCCACCTACCGGACGGTGGTCTCCTCACCCGGACCGGGCGCCAGCAGCGGCACGGGAAGCACCAGCGGTACGTCCCCCGGCGTTGGGTGTGCTTCGGTGTGGCCGTGACCGCATCCGCCGTCCCCTCCTGCCTGGTTGTGCCTGTGCCCGGCGCCCCTGCTCCTGCCCAGCCGTCTTGTGCCTCCACGTCCAGCGTCTGTCCTCAGCCTCCTGTGTCCTCTCCCCCTCTCCCTGCTGCCTGTCTCATGGTCAGATGGGCCTAATGGCCTTTCCCCAAAGCTCCCGCGAGCTGCCCTTCCCACCTCTGCTACGCACGTCACCCCCGCTACAAGATTTGGCATAGGATAGCCATTGCTGCAGCTCTGCCCTCAGTAGGCTTCAGAGTGAATAGAGGTGGAAACATTTCAGGCGAACAATCTGAGCGTGCCTCAAACCCAGGGTGGGTTTGAACCTGTTGTAGACAGACAGGTCACTGCATACTGTCACCCTGGGGCTGTGAAGACGAAATAACTCATGGGCCAGAGGTGGCACGGGTCTGGCACAGCCCTCTGGGCTGCCAGAGTGTGGATGCCCAGTGGGGCTGGAGAAACCTCTCACAAGGGCAGAACCCCCATAGCTTTGGCTGCCTGGCTTCACCTGCTTAATTATAAATGTTGGTGTGCCCATTAGGGCAAACGAGCTCGTCGGAGGTCAGCTTACACAGGCTCTCCTGTAGTGCTTGAGAAGGTGCAACCTGATCGTGTTCTCTCAGAGATTGACCTCAGAGCACTTATTGTACCGGTGCAGCCACAATGCGCAAATCCTCGTCCCCACCAGCCACCGCGCTGCCCTCCTGTGTCCACCAGAAACTATTTTTTGAGAGGATTACCCCCACCGAGCCTTGCGGGCACCTCCACCCCTGCGGGGAGGTGGTGGGTGTGCAGCTCCCCAGCCCTGTCCCCAACCGCTGTCCCCAGCCCTACGTGAGCTTGAGAGCCCTGCCATCTGCTTTGGGGGTTTGCCACCTTCTGGGGGGGTGCTGCTGGGGGTGTCCCCCCCTGAGCGTGGCTGTCATCGCAAGTGTGGCTTTGCTTCAGTGGTGGTGGCTTTTCTGTGGTGGCTGGGGGAGGTGGCTGTGGGGTGGGTGGGTGGCTTGGGGTCAACGTGGGGCCAGCTGCTGGGGTCTCCAGCATCCAGATCCCGGTGGCACTGGTCGGAGCTGGGACTTCTCTGAGAGACTGGCAGCGGGAAACAGCAAGTTGGTTCCGATGTTGCTCTCCACCCCCATGCCAAATGAGCAACTGCCTTGGGTGAGCGGAGGTCCGCAGGATGGGGACACGCTGGTGGCTCCACACGGGGATGGATGGAGAAACCCCCCGCTTAGAGGCGTCGGGGGCTGGATGGAGCCAGGCTGCCGTGGCATCTCTTCCCCGGAAATTATCTCCCGTCTCCGCTCACCATGTGTTGCAGCCCCCTGACACCTCAGCCTTACCCAGCCCCGTGTGGGACAGAGAGACGGAAAAAATGCAGAGCGTTGAAATGCTCACACAAATTCCACCTGCATCCTCACAAACCCTCAGCCCGTCTCAGTATTTGGTGTGGATCCAGCACCGTTCCCATTCCTCCACTCTCCACCATTCCAGGCCCGCCCTCAACCGCTCCCCTGTTGCTGGATTTGGCCCCAGGGGTGTCCGGTTTTGGGATGCCGTGGGGCAGAGCCACCCCGGGACCCCCTCCTGCCATCACATCCCACGGGAGCCCAGGCTCCTGGGTGTCACCGAGGCAGGGCTGGGGACCGGCATCCCAGCAGCCTACTGGTTTTATGCTGATTTACCACTTGCTGGCCACAGTTTCTTGTTGTAGAAAATATCTAGAGGTACATCGGTCTCTCAGGGTTATATACCTGAAGAATAAACCTCTCTGGATGAACGCTGATGTCTGGCAGGGCTTTGGCTCGCTGCTGGTTGCTCCCAAAATATACGCCCTCAAAGTGTCTGGTTTGTGATGCTCGTCCAGTGCCGCTACGTTGCTTTCCCTGAATAATTCCTATTTTGTCAGGCTGTTGTTGGGATAAGAAAGGTAAAATTCAAACTTTGGTTGCTAAATTAAGCTTCTAAATCAAAAATGGCTTGAAGTTTGGAGCTGCGCAAAGGAACAGTCAGGATTTACTCCCTTTCAAGAAGCCCATCTCCTGTCTTACCCTTCGTCCTTTACCTCTCCTTCTTGTTTCTATAGATCTGGCTTTGCTATTGCCGTAGTCTGAGCTATCACCCACAAAAATTAGCAAACTGATTCTCTCCTAAGCGGGGGGGAAAAAAATGAAGCTGAAGACATCCCCTTACGGTGGCCATGAGCACAACGTGCCGCTCTGCGGACGGTGAGGCGCGGCGGTGCTCCGCGGAGGTTGCCAGCACCTCCAGCTCCGCCGTGGGGTCAGCAGCCCCCACCGCCCCTCTTCTCTTGGCACAACCTCTGACTGCTCTGTATGGCCCTGATTACCGCTGAACTTACCCCGGCAGGGATTTCTGCACACCGAGGAAAACAGTCCGCTGGGTGTCCTTTTAAGTACCTGTTAAAATTTCTGTTTGGTTGGAAGAAGTGCCCCTTCGCAGCAAAGAAGCAGCCGCTGGGGACGCGTGAACCCCAGGGACAGCGCCCTCTCCTTCTCTGAAACTCTTCCGGAGGGTTGGGAAAGGTTAAACTTTGCTTTTCCACCTTTCCTCCGCTTTGCTCGGACAAAGCTTTGCCCCTCTGTCTGGGACCCCTCATTCCCATGATGGAGGACCGACCCTTCTCGTCGGCTGTGCCGCTCGGGGAGCTCAGGGTTAAACTCCTCAGCGCATCATTTTTCACCTGCTGTTATTGCTGGTTTTTAGATAAAACCATAAGATTCCTCCAATAATAATTTTGCCGAGGAGGCCAGGTCCCCGGTGCAGATGGGCATCGGTGTCTGCCATCCCAAAAAGCTCTTCTCCCAGGCGAAGTGGCCGGTGTGGCACGATGGCCAAGGGGACCTTGGTGCAGGGCGTGCATGGACATCCCCCCGCCGGCTCCTGCTTTGCTTTCAGATGGGGTACGGAGGTCTG